ATTTTTGTGGGCGGGTAGAGGCCAGTGAATATTGCATTAACAATATTTTATTTACTATTTTTTCTCAATTGGAGTAGATAGGTTCGTCTATTGTCCGGTTCATACTCCTCCCCGATTTTTTGAACAAGTGATAGAAGTTTATCTCTTGTTTTCTGTTTAGGATCAGGTCGCTAGTTCATTCTAAAAATATTTTCTCTTTCACTCTCAGTAGCACTTTGTGTCTAAGTGGCATTATTGCTATGCTCGGGGCGAATAGATTAAAAACAAATAAAAATTATTTTTTTCATATATAAGTCCGACTATTTAACCCATAGGTAGTGGGAGAAGAGATGTATTCATACTTTTCCTAAGGATATTTGCGTGTGGAAAATGAAAAAGATTATATTGAAAAATAAATATTTGTTGTGTAAAATAACTTTTTCATCATTAGATTTCAAATTTATTGATCTAACTACGGAGCAAAAAGAACGCCCAAAGATGCCAAATACGGAGACAATTTGAATATATTTAGCTTGTGTTTTAACACAGGACAGAAGATGTGACACCGAAATCCGAAGGCGCATTGGGATAGCGAAAGGAAAATTTTATAAGAAACAAATAAACAGTGCCCAACTGTTATTTAATAACATTCCTCCTGAATGCTGGACAATCTCTTCGAGGGTGAAGAATAGACTTGAGACAACAGAAAGGTGATTTTACAAAATGATGCTGAGAATATCATGGACTGAACATGAGACCAACAAAAAGGTTTTAAGCAAAGTGAAAACAAAAAGAACACGTATACTTAGCATCAGAAAAAGACAATTAAAATTCCTAGGGCATATAATGAGAAAAGAAGGCTTGGAGAATCTAACACTCACAGGACACATTGAAGGCAAGAGGGACAGAGAAAAGCGGCGAATAACCTTCTTAACGAGTTTGTATAAATGGTTTGCAAGAAAGGTATGAGGAGGGATAGCAAAAAGACAAAACTTAGAATTACAAAAGACAAGAAGTTGTGGAGAGCCATTATTACCCACGACCTGAACGGACGCGGCAGAGGGAAGAGAAATGCGTGTATTTTACATTGTGCGTACATTTATTTTTTCAATTTCTGTGTATATGCGTTGGTGTGTTTATATTCATGCGTCACATATGTTTTTTTTCATTCCCATAAAATGAAAAATGCCACCAATTTATTCGATTTATGGAACCGTTGACATCGCTTAAAATGGCCCGTAATAAAATTGTAAAAACGAACGTCCTCTATGAAGCTCTGGTCGATCATCTTGTCTTATGTCGTCTGCTTTACTCATTCGATATTTGTTAAATTCCTGTGCAGCCATTCCGCCATTTTGAAGGATCTTTTCTTTCATTATCTCCCAATACTTGAAGTTCTCTCTCTCTCTCTCTCTTTCTCTCTCTTTCTCTTTCTCTCTCTTTCTCTCTCTCTCTCTCTTTCTCTCTCTCTCTCTCTCTCTCTGACTTCGCAATGTATTCGCATTTCGGAATCTCATTAATATTCTGTCCTAACCTAGCCGTATGATGCTTGGATTAACAGCCTCGGAGTCCTTTTCTGAGATTCATCTTTGTAGCCATTCCGGGGAGGAGGCAGTGCATGCAGTTAAAAAGGGAAAGATATCCTATAAATATCAAAGTGAAAACAATACATTCCCTAATACTACCCCAATTCGAATTATAAACCCCATTTTTTCTTCTTTTTTTTTTTGTTATATTTATTTATTTATTGGAATGAAATATACTGTCCACTATTCGTATGAGCGCTTTTGTGTTCCTGTGTAGATGCGTGTGATTATACTCTTATGTGCATACGCCAGCCTATGAAATGCAAAGAGATACATTTATGTTTCTTCTTCTTTTATTGGGGCATTTTCCTACAGGATGTAGGCGATCATGGCTCGCCACAACTTATCCGCAAAGTTGGTCCACTTGCTATTCCTATTCTGCAATTCATTTACACAAGCTCATTAGATAAATTACACGCTGTTTCCTCCTGCCTATGTACTGTGAATGTCAAATTCTCCAGACCGTCTTCCCTACCTAAAATGTTCAAGAAAATTATTCTTTGTAGAAAATAAAAGAAAGAATTTGAAAGATGCGGAAAAGAAATATTTTGTGAGTTACACAAAACAAAAGAAAGAGCTTTAAAGATATGAAATACAAAAAAATAGACTTTGAAGGACGTGGAAAACAAAGGAAAAAGATTGAAAAAGGCGGGAAATAAAAGAAAAAGTTTTAAAAATGCGGGAAATAAAAGAAAGAGTATGAAAAATGCGCGAAATAAGAGAAAAAATTTGAAAAATGCGGGAAATAAAAGAAAGGGTTTGAAAGTTTTCAGAAATAAAAGAAAGTGTTAAAAAAATGAGGGAAATAAAAGAAAGTGTTTGAAAATGCGGTAAATAAAAGAAAGAGTTTGAAAAATTCGGGAAATAAGAGAAAGAGTTTAAAAAATGCGGGAAATAAAAGAAAGTGTTTGAAAGACGCGGGAAATAAAAGAAAGAGTTTGAAAAATGCGGGAAATAAAAGAAAGAGTTTGAAAAATGCGGGAAATAAAAGAAAGTGTTTGAAAAATGGGGGAAATAAAAGTAAGAGTTTGAAAAATGCGGGAAATAAAAGAAAGAGTTTGAAAAATGCGGGAAATAAAAGAAAGTGTTTGAAAGATGCGGGAAATAAAAGAAAAGAGTTTGAAAATGCGGGAAATAAAAGAAAGAGTTTGAAAAAATGCAGGAATTAAAAGAAAGTGTTTGAAAAATGGGGGAAATAAAAGTAAGAGTTTGAAAAATGCGGGAAATAAAAGAAAGAGTTTGAAAAATGCGGGAAATAAAAGAAAGTGTTTGAAAGATGCGGGAAATAAAAGAAAGAGTTTGAAAAATGCGGGAAATAAAAGAAAGAGTTTGAAAAATGTTGGAAATAAAAGAAAGTCTTTGAAAAATGCGGGAAATAAAAGAAAGTGTTTGAAATAAGCGGGAAATAAAAGAAAGAGTTTGAAAAATGCGGGAAATAAAAGAAAGAGTTTGAAAGATCTGAGAAATAAAAAAAGTGCTTGAAAAATGGGGGAAATAAAAGTAAGAGTTTGAAAAATGCGGGAAATAAAAGAAAGAGTTTGAAAAATGCGGGAAATAAAAGAAAGAGTTTGAAAGATCTGAGAAATAAAAAAAGTGCTTGAAAAATGGGGGAAATAAAAGTAAGAGTTTGAAAAATGCGGGAAATAAAAGAAAGAGTTTGAAAAATGGAAATAAAAGAAAGTCTTTGAAAGATGCGGGAAAAAAAGAAAGAGTTTGAAAAATGCGCGAAATAAAAGAAAGTGTCTGAAAAATGCGGGAAATATAAGAAAGAGTTTGAAAGCAGTGAGAAATAAAAGATAAGTGTTTGAAAGATGCGTGAAATAAAAGAAAGAGTTTGAAATATGTCGAATACAAAAGAAAGTGATTGAAAGATGCGAGAAATAAAAAAAGAAGTGTTTGAAAAATCCGGGAAATAAAAGAAAGAGTTTGAAAGATCTGAGAAATAAAAAAAGTGCTTGAAAAATGGGGGAAATAAAAGTAAGAGTTTGAAAAATGCGGGAAATAAAAGAAAGAGTTTGAAAAATGCGGGAAATAAAAGAAAGAGTTTGAAAGATCTGAGAAATAAAAAAAGTGCTTGAAAAATGGGGGAAATAAAAGTAAGAGTTTGAAAAATACGGGAAATAAAAGAAAGAGTTTGAAAAATGGAAATAAAAGAAAGTCTTTGAAAGATGCGGGAAAAAAAGAAAGAGTTTGAAAAATGCGCGAAATAAAAGAAAGTGTCTGAAAAATGCGGGAAATATAAGAAAGAGTTTGAAAGCAGTGAGAAATAAAAGATAAGTGTTTGAAAGATGCGTGAAATAAAAGAAAGAGTTTGAAATATGTCGAATACAAAAGAAAGTGATTGAAAGATGCGAGAAATAAAAAAAGAAGTGTTTGAAAAATCCGGGAAATAAAAGAAAGAGTTTGAAAGATGCGGGAAATAAAAGAAAGTGATTGAAAGATGCAGGGAATAAAAGCGTTTGAAAGAGTTTGAAAATAAAGGAGAGAATTTGAAAGAGGTGGAAAATAAAAGAAAGAGTTTGTAAGATGTGAAAACAAATAAAACTTTTTGAAAGTTACGGAAAACCAAAGAAAGAGAGTGAAAGATACAGAAAAGAAAACGGCTTGAAAAATTGTAGAAAAGGCAGCCTTCTACAAAATTAACGAATAAATTAATGAAATATATAAAAAAGTGGAAATTAGATCAGAAGAATGAATAAATATAAATGCGAAAACAAAATTTAAGGAGCAAATCTAGGGAAGAAAAATATGAATGCAACATAATATCGATTAATTGATTCGATTTTTATGGTTTATCAACCTTTGGCAAATTATTTAAAGCCAGAAATATTTTTAGACTGGAAGAAATTTCCTTTAGATAATAATGGTTTAGTGATACACGTCTTACAAATTAACCCATAGCTGGGGGAGTAGAGGTGGATTCATACCTTTCTCAAGGATATTTGCGTAACGCGGCATGAAAAAGTTAATTTTCAGAAATGAAGGTAGGAATTTTTTAAATAAAAATAATTTCCGAAGGAGAAAATAACAGAAAGTGGACATTAACGCAAAAGAAGGAAAGATAAATGAATATGAAAAAAAAAAAAGAAAATAACAAGACAATATTTTGTAACAGATATTTTAGAAATTAACAAGGGAGATAACTGCTGCTTTTTCGCGTGTTCAAATGGCTGAAGATTAAAGTTTAGATTGAGTTTAGTTAATGGTCGCGTTTTGTCAAGTAGTCAGTTTTAGAACGAAAAATATAAACCGAAATAAAAATAAATGAATAAAAAATATTTTAAAAGCACAAATCAGTGATAGAAAACCGACAAAAATATAAATGAATTTCAATGTAAAATACTTCTATTTTGATCATCATCAAAGATACTGAAAAAAGCAAAATTTATTTAAAACATTCAATTCCATATTTTTCATACGCAGATATGGAGCCATTTTGAATTCTTAGAATCGTCGATATACACAAAACTAGTTTCAAATAATCAGATTATGTTTGTTTTTTTTTATGGTTTTTCGATAAAAATTCATAGCAATGACTTAAAACTATATTTTATTTCACGATTTAAAAAACAAAACGAATCAAGATTTATTATCTTATGTAATACTTTCATTCTTCAAGCGAAGAAACTGTTTTTTTTATGAATTACAATGGGCAAATTCTTACTCAACGACACACACACAGCACACACACACACACACACACACATACATGCGCGCAACATTTATAGGGCGCCCACTATAGAGCGATATTTGTTTAACCAGTGTAACATGTTCGTTCTTCGCAAAGTGCGCCTATCTAGTTTTTTTTTTTTTTTTTTTGCTAGCTTTAACTGAGTAAGTGAAATGTTTACGACACGCCCGCATGAACGTAGACCGCCGACTGTGAATAGGAGCTTGACAAGCTATTCTTGCATGTCAATGTTACCGGGTTCGATCCTTGCTATATATCCCAATTTTATATAAGACTAGTTCAGTATTTACAACTTCTTTGGCGGCAAGATAATCAACTTTCGAATCTAATTATTTATCAAAATTAAAATACAACATTTATTCGTAAAGATATGCAGTTTTAAATAAATAGGGATCATAAACATTTCTTCATAGGGTCATTGAAGGCAAGATTATTAAATGTTATATGCCGGGAATAAATAAGTAACACCAGGTGGATACTAGAAGAAAGGTTTATTGTACACAACAAGTGCAATATGAAATACGGTACAGTTATACACACAGGTTAATCTAGTAGTGAGTGCCACTAATTGGAAGGTCGGACGTGCTTGCGTCTTCTCATTCACTCTCTCTACCAGTCTCTCGTAAACATTTGACTTTATAGGTACTTACTACCTATAGTGTAATCATTAATGGGGGTGCCTGGTTATTCCATTACATCATTAAATTTCAAATCTAAATTGTTTGTTCATTTAAAATACATTTATTAGAAAATATATTCAGTTTAAATACAGGAGCCATGAAAATGACTCAAAAGGGCTGTCATAATCTTTTACTGTTATCCAAGGGTTGTTGCCAGACAGAAAGATAAGTTCGTCCTTACGACTGAGATGTCCATTTCAATTTCATTCAAACTGTGTGCATATGTGCGCAACTGACAATCGAGCATAATTGATTCATCAATCCATAAATTTACATGTGATGAAGGTAGCAGAGTATGTCTTTCCAATGCAGGACTCACAAGAAGAGTCATACCTCTAGACCTTTCACAAATTACGATGAGGAAAATAGACTTAACATGTGGGGTGTGTCAAAAAACCTGAAGAAAGCTCTCCGGTCCCACCCGTCACACGAAAACTCACTAGGAGCTTGGCGATCAAGGTAAACTTCAGGGAATTCCATATCGAACCATTTATTTAATCTACTGGAGTGGCATGGGATGTTGTTCGGTCCACGTCTATGGATAACAACGTCTTGTTTTTAGTTAGTACTGCCAAGTTATTGCTTGGCCCAGGGATTGAACTGACAATTACTATGTCACTTAATTCACAAACCAACGGTAATGATACCGCTATTTACTAGGCATGGTCTGAAGATCGCTCCAGGTGTCAAAAATGGCAGTCATTGGGTTTTATTTTTATATCCACCATGTCCTTGTCTCTATCTATCTATCGTCAGTGAATACTACTCCGTAGAGGGGACAAGACTGATTAGTGGGGTTCGGGCAATGCTTTGCGACCCTCACTATCTTATCAACATTTGATTTTTTTCTACCAACATTTATGTACGTTACAAATTAAAACTAAACACAAATGACTGTTAAAATAATCGCAAATTTTAAGGTCATTCTGTTTTGTTTTTTTTTTCGTCGAAATCCGTGAATTTGTTTTGCTCATGCAAAGTCCCGAAAAAGACACTCTATAAAATTCACAATTTTTCATCAATGTTTTAAATTATTCAACTTTTTAACAAGAAAAATCTCAAGTTGATGTTCAAATTTGCCGTAAGATATTTATTTGAGATGGAATGATCTCTTATGATATGTCTCTAGTTTGTATTTAGATACATTGTATTTTCAAATTTTCTAGTTGAATTGCTCACCTATATTACATATGATCTATTATTGTACATAATTACGTTACAATAAATTTCTTATTACATATATATATATATATATGTGTGTGTGTGTGTGTGTGTGTGTGTGTGTGTGTGTGTGTGTGTGTGTGTAAAATTAATTAAAATTTTTCATATAGATAAAAACGGTTTACCCACTAGAAAGATGCAACTTCGTTTCAGTGCAATTCAGTTGCACCTCAACTGGTGAGTTGGTTCTCACCAGTCGAGGTTAAATTGAAATGCACTGAAACGAAGTTGCATCTTTCTAGTGAGTAAACAGTTTTTGTCTTTATGAAAAAATTCTGATAAATAATTATTGCTCTACTATCGGTATCGAGCTCTCGTTTGAATTAATGCTGTGAACATTAGA